ATTGCAATTATTTAGTGCGAGCATCGTGATATTTGCAATAGGCATCCTTTGAAACCCATACCATACGGTGTATCACAACGATGATATTCGTAATTTATCAGCCACGTTATTAGTAGACAATGCGCAAGCTCTACGATTATAGAAAGAGGAATCGGCGAAGGATCGACTGCGATCCTGCATGCTGTTACATTTAGTCGTCTATTGGTAACAGACGTCTCCTGACCTCGCGATTTACTTAGACATGTACGATTAGGTCAGAAATTTGGACATATCAAACTTGATTCTTCTTAAGAAAAGAAATCTACTAAAAACTTGGTAAGTGACCTTCAATCAATTTTATCATACGTTAAATTTAATTTTACTATTTAATTAGACTTATTAGACGCATAAATGTTTAAAAAATTTTTGTTTTTGTATTTGTCCAATAACTTTTTTTATTATATGCATTTTTATAAAAAGTGATAGAGATGATATATAGAGAATTTTATTTAACATAAATGACGGTGAAAATTTTATACCAAAAATAACTATGTACTCAGCAGTAGCTGCGGACCATAAGGAAATTATAAAAATTTTTATTATTTTGTTCGCATTTGAAACATAGAAAGAATTTTCAATTCGCGTCTTCATGGTCCGCGATTACTAACGTACATAATTATTTTTGACATAAAATTTTCTCCGTAATCCAATAAGATTGGATATAATATAAATAATAAATTTTGCTCTTTTACAAATAAATCTTATGCATTAATGATTTGTTTTTCAAAGTGCTGCGTTTAATATTCATACACGCATCGTAACTATAACGCAAAAATTTTTCACACTATGATTATCTTATGTTTTAATCGTGACAGAACCAAATAATGCCGAACGTGCGAATTCCATTTGTACGAATAATACTAACAAAATACTAATAAACACGAACACAAATTTGCGGCAATTTCTTGCATAGGAAATGTATCGAAGGATTAATTGTTAATATTTAACAATGTTATTTACATTTCCTTTACAAAGTTATATTTTATTTTTTTGGTATATATATGCATGTGATAAATAATAAACATTGCTGACTTCACAATTTAAAGTTATTGTAAAGAACAGATAAATTACGTTATCTATTGAAACAACTTATAAATTCGTGTACATAAATCAGATTAGACTTTATGATTCACTTGTTTGAACATTAATCTTTTTTTATGTATAATGTTATGATCAAAATTAAATTTATGTAATTTCAGATCAATTCGTATAATAATTATTAATAATAAAATTTTCAGAGAATCATATATTATATTGATCAAACGGAACTATTCGAAATTTAATCAAAACAACACCCGAAAGGATGGGTTTCAAAATAAGCTTGTTATTCGTATTTGTCATCTACAGCATGTTGAGCATTGTATACCCACGTAATACAAATATGAAATCTCGTACATTTAATCTAGGAGAATATTATACAAGCATTATTAGAAGTAAGTGTTTTTTTTTTCTTTCACATTCTACACGCACAGTAATCTTTTGTGCTATTTGCTATTATGATACTTCTTATATAATTTGGAAAACTCAAATTGTTAATTATTATTTAATGTATATATTTAGTTATAATAAATTGTTACAAATATCAGAAATAAAGTTGTCAGTTAAAGTTGTCAGTTAAATTTTACTGGAATGATAGAATAAATATTAAACTGTGTATAAATTGATTTATTTTTTGTTCATAGTTTACTGCATGCGTTATGATTTAAATTTTTGCACAATGTATTTTTTTTCTTACAGGACCTGCTTTTTGTAATTATCATAATGACGTTGGTATATGCTGCAAATTGCAGTACCCCTGCACACCCCTGTGGCGATTTTGGTATAATACGAAAGACAAAACATGTCAATCTTTTATATATAGTGGTTGTGGAGGAAATCCAAATAATTTTCATTCGCGGGAAACGTGTATGATATGGTGTCGTGAAGATCGTTCATAATTCTAGATGCACCTTTGATGTAAAATTGTTAAGAATTTTCCATATATTGATATGTATTTATAATAGTTCAATATTGACTTTAAATAGAAATAAGCACTAAATGGAAGATTCTGTTAAGTTTTTATAAAATGCTTGTAAAAGTGTTTTATTTTTACAATAAATGACTGTAATAAAATAAAATTTACAGATTTGTTTATAAAATATGTAAGAATATTTGTATAAATAAAAAGAAGCACTTCTTAATTTTTAATTTTTTGATTTTTGTCGCTGTATTAGGTATATAATACTACGTACAATAATTTAATAATATGGAACCTTATAAGAATTTAAGTAAAAATATATCAGTGTTAATTGAATATTATGTTGGTTTAAAAAATATCATCTTATATAGAATTACTGTAATTGTGCTAAATTATTATCAAAACTATTACACACGCAACAGAAGTGTTTTGTATTCTTTTTTTACATTTAGATATTTAACATATTGTAAAAGTTTAATATGTCTTTTTAAATATGTGACGTGAGTGATAAATATTTTCTCTCAAGTAAGAAGAATTATTATTTTAGATTTTCCTAACTTTAATCATTATTTATGAGTAGATGAATATTCTGATAATAATATTAATTAAATTACATTTTTATGGTGTATTTAAATGTTTATTGTCATTATAACGGTCAAATATATGTGACGCAACACACGTGGTCAGTCGCGCAGTCATAAGTTGGCACTGGGAATAATAGTAATAATGTTGAAACGTGCAGCAACAAAAAATTACTTTTTAATTGCTATGCGTAAGTGCTTCACTTTATTAATTAATATTAATAATGCTGTTATTCGAAAACTGTTATCACTGTTTACTTAGCAAATACCCATATTTCAATTTTCCAATTTTTTTTAAATCTGTTCTTTTAGAATAAACGCTTATCAATTGCTCTTTTTTTTCGTGGATAAAGTTTTAATTTTTTGAGTTTTTATTTATAAAAATTAATAAATGTTAAATATTTGTTGTAATATAATTATTACTTAATGTTTGTAATACTTCGTTTGGTGCGTATTGCATCGATTTTATAATTTTATAATGCAATAATAATTACAACGTAGGTCCTTGCAATCACTTTTAAAGAAAATATTATGATGACAACATAAAAAATAAATGTAGGATGTTTGTGTGGAGGGTTGTGATGAGAATGTTAACAATTTCAATAATGAACGCTTGTGCCGAAAAATTTGCATTTTGTCGGAAAATTACACCTCCAAGTAGGTTTTAATTGGAAGTGTAAAACTGTATGGAATTTTCATCAGATATTAATACAAATTCTTTATTTTTGCAAGAATTAATTGTAACAAAATTAAACCCGTTGAAATATATGTGTAAGAGAAATCAAGCATTTTCTTCGTTTTTATTTTACTTTTTTTACTATGTTTTTTTATTTTAACACACATTAAATACATTATACTATGAACAATAATTTAATAACATTAGAACGTGTAATTTTAATTAAGAACAATCAAATTTTAAGAACAATTACGTGTTTTGTAATACCTATATAATTTGAAAATATTGTATGCTTTCTATTCATTTTTTACGTTAATTGGACGAAGTTAGCGTTTCATAATTTATAGACGACATTCGATGTAAAAGCTCCGCGAAACTTAAGGTCTGTTCTTTATAGCTGAACTGGCTGTACTAGTTCAGAGTTTATCTTTTTCCCTCCACATTGGAAGGAGAAAGATAAACTCTGAACTAGTGCAGCCAGTTCAGCTATAAAAAACAGACCTTTAGTTTCAATTGGTTGGACTCAAACTATGATGTGTAATCTTGAAGTTACAACAATGTAAATAAAGTAAATAACATCTGTATCGAGATAAAAAAAAACATTTTATTCAAAAATAAAATAATACGAAATGTATAATATTGTTGCATTATTATATTATTAATAAAATATTAAACTCATATATACTTTATGATGAGTCTATGGTTCAGATTATCATTATTACAAATATTTATTGCAAGCATCGCGAGATTTGTAATAGGAACTTTTTAAAAACCGTACCACACGGTATATCACAACGAGGATATTCGCAATTTATCAGCCACGTGATTAGCTGACAATGCGCAGGCTCTACGGTTATAGAAAGAGGGATCGGCGAAGGATCGACCGCGATCCTGCATGCTGTCGACGTACATTACATTTAGTCGTCTGTGAGTGATAGACGTTTCATGACCTTGCGATTTACTTAGGCATGTACAATTAAGTCAAAAAATTAAACATATCAAACTTAATTCTTTTTGGAAAAAGAAATCTACCAGAATTTGGTAAGTGACCTTTAATCAATTTTATCGTACGTTAAATTTACTTTCATTATTTAATTAGATTTAAAAATATTAAAAGTTAACCGTTTAAAATCATTTAAACTGTTCTCGTTTCTCCATTTTTTCAATAACTATCTTATTATTTGCAATTTTGTGACAAATAAAAGAGATGACAAACAAAGAATTTAGTTTAACATGTTTTATATCATGAAGAAAATTTTATATCAAAAGTTACTATGTACGGCAGTAGTTGCAGACCATGAAAAAATTATAAAAATTTTTACTATGTTGTTCACATGTGTAAAACAGTAATACAAAGTTATTTTTGACATAAAATTTTTTTCTTTGGATAATTTTTGCTTTTTTATAAGTAAATCTTACGCACTAACGACTTCTTTTGTCAAAATAATGTGTTTAATATTCATACACGCATTGTAATTATAACACAAAGATTTTTCACACTATGATTATCTTATGCTTTAATCGCGACGAAAACTGAATAATGCCGAACGTATGAATTCCATTCGTACGAATAAGGCTAATAAACACAATCGTAACTTTGCGGCAGTTTCTTACATAGAAAGCATATCGAAAAAATAGCCGTTAATATTTTCCAATGTTATTCACATTTCCTCTACAGAGCTATATTTCATTTTCTTGGTATATGTATGCACTTTATAAATAATAAACAGTGTTGATTATACAATTTAAAGTTATTGTAAAGAACAAATAAACTTACGTTCTCTGTTGAAACAACTATAAATTCATGTACATAAATCAGATTGGATTTTATGATTCACTTGTCTGAACATTAATCTTTTTTTATATATGATGTTATGATCAAAATTAAATTTATGTAATTTCAGATCAGTTCGTATACTAATTATTGACAATAAACTTTTCGGAGAAGCATATATTATATTGATCAAGACAACGCATAAAAAAATGAGTTTCAAAATAAGCTTGTTATTCATACTTGTTACCTTCAGCACGTTTAGCACGGTATACATGCGTCCATCAAAAAGAGAATGCCGTTCACGTAAGACACTAAAATTAAAGGAAGCGTTATGGAAGCGTTTTATTTCTCTTACATTGTACACGCACAATATAATCTTTTATTTTATTTGCTACTATGATACTTTTCATATAATTTGGAAAACTCAAATTGTTAATTACTATTTAATGTATATATTTGGTTATCATAAATTGCTTCAAATATCGGAAATATAAAATTGTCTGTTTAATTTTACTGGATAAATAGAATAAATATTAAACTGTGTATAAATTAATATATTTTTTTTCATAGTTTACTGCATGCGTTGTAATTTAAGTTCTTGCACAATGTATTTCTGTCTTACAGGACCCTCTTATTGTAATATTGATCATGACTATGGAAATGGATGCAAATTTTGGACTCCTTGCGATCAGCAGTGGAGATACGCGTATAATATAAATACAAGACAATGTGAACCTTTTTTTTACAGTGGTTATGAAGGAAATCAAAATAATTTTCTAACGGAGGTTATGTGTACTTATTATTGTCATGAAGATGCAGATGTTTAGATGCACCTTTGATATAATATTGTTAAGAATTTCTTATATATTGATATGTATTTACAATAGTTTGATATTGACTTTAAATAGAAATACTAAATGAAAGATTCTGTGAAGTTTTTATAAAATACTTGTAAAAGTTTTATTTTTACAATAAATGACTGTAATAAAATAAAATTTACGAATATGTTTATAAAATATGTACAAATATTTGTATAAATATAAAGAAGCACGTCTTAATTTTTCAATTTTTTAATTTTGTTGCTGTATTAAATATATAATACTACGTACAATAATTTAATAATATAGAACCATATAAAAATTTCAGTAAAAATATATCAGTGTTAATTGAATAATATGTTGGTTTAAAAAATATCATCTTATATAAAATTACTGGAATTGTGCTAAATTATTATCAAAATTTTTAAACATGCAACAGAGATGTTGTATTCTTTCCTTACATTTTATACAGATATTTAACATATTGTAAGTTTGATATGTCTTTTTAAATATGTGACGTAAGTGATAAATATTTTCTCTCTAGTAAAAAGAATTATAATTTTCTAATTTTATTCATTATTTATAAGTAGATGATTATTCTTATAATAACTTGATGTTAATTAAATTATATTTTTATTTAAATGTTTATTGTCAGTATAACAATCAAATATATGTGGCGCAACATACGTGGTCAGTCGTGCAATTATAAATTGGCGCTGAAAAAAATAGTAATAATTTTGAAACATACAACAACAAAAAATTGCTCTTAAATTGCTTTTTTGCTATGCAAAATTGCTTTACTTCTTTAATTAATATTAAATAATGCCGCTACACGAAAACAGTTATCAATGTTTGCTTAGCAAATACCCATATTTTAATTTTCTAGTTTTTTTAAAAATCTGTTCTTCTAATAAAACGATCATCAATTGCTCTCTTTTTCTCATTGTAAAATTTTAAGTGTTTGAGTTTTTATTTATGAAAATTAATTGATGTTGACTATTTGGCGCGTTTGTAATACTTCGTTTGATGTGTATCGATTTTATAGTTTGGTATTGCGATTACAATTACAACGTAGATCCTTACAATTATTTTTAACCAAAATATTATGACAAAATAAAAAATGAATGTAGAATGTTTATGTGGAGGGTTGTGTTCGGAATGCTAACAAGTTCAATAATGAACGCTTGTGCCGAAAAGTTTGCCTTCTGCAGAAAAATGTACCCGCAAACGGGTTTTAAATAAAAATGTAAGACTGTATGATATTTTGATCAGATGTTCATACAAATTTTGCATTTTTATAAAAATTAACTGCGACAAAATTAAATCTGTTCATATAAATGTGTAAGCAAAACTGAACATTTTTGTCATTTCTGTTTTACTTTTTTTATACCGTTCTTTTATTTTGGCACATATTAAATATGTATTACTATGCAGAATAGTTTAATAACATTAGTACATGTAATCGTAATTAAAAAGTGATGAAGACTGTTTCTTGTAATACTTATATAATTTGAAAATGTTGTATCCTTCTTGTTTTCGACGTAAAATGAGCACAGTTAGCGCTTCATAGTTTATAGACGAAATTAAATGTAGACGCTCTGTGAAATTTAGTTTTAATTAATGGAAAATAAATTAGAAATTTTAATCTTAAAGTTAAAACAATGTAAATAAAGTAAATGATATTTGTTTTGGAATGTAAAAAATTATTTTATTCAAAAATACAAAAATACGACATGTATCATATTACTGTATTATTATTATTATTGAGATATTATATTATTGAAATATTAAACACTATACTTTATAATGAGTGTGTAGTTCAGATTATCATTGTAGCAAATATTTATTGCGAGCATCGTAAAATTTGCAATAGGCGTTCTTTCTTAGCCGTACGGTCATACGGTATAGCACAGCGATGATATTCGCGATTTAACAGCCATGTTCTCAACTGACAACGCGCAGGCTCTACGATTATAGTAGGAAGGATAGACGAAGGATCAATCGCGATCCTGCATGCTGTTGCTTTTGATCATCTGTGAGTGACAAACGTTTCTTGACCTCGCAATTTACTTAGGCATGTACGATTAAGCGAGAAATTTAGCCACGTCAAACTTAATTCTTCTTAAGAAAAGAATTCTATCAGAATTTGGTAAGTGACTTTCAATCAATATTATCATAACATTAAATTTACTCTTACTATTTAATTAATCTTGAAATTATTTAAAGGATTCTTGTTTTACCATTTTTCTAATAACTATCTTATTATTTGCATGTTTGTGACAAGTAAAAGAGGTGACAAACAAAGAATTTAGTTTAACATGTTTTATATCATGAAGAAAATTTTATATCAAATGTTACTATTACGGCAGTAGTAGCAAATCATGAAAAAATTATAAAAATTTCTACTATGTTGTTTACATGTGTAAAACAGTAACACAAAATTACTTTTGACATAAAATTTTCTTCTTTATCCAGCAAAAATGGATATAATATGGATAATTTTTGCTTTTTTATAAGTAAATCTTATGCACTAACGACTTCTTTTGTCAGAATGATGTGTTTAATATTCATACACGCATCGTAACTATAACACAAAGATTTTTCACATTATGATTATCTTATGCTTTAATCGCGACGAAAACTGAATAATGCCGAACGTACGAATTCTATTCGTACGAATAAGTTCAATAAACACAATCGTAACTTTACGGCAGTTTCTTACGTAAGAAGCATATCGAAGGAATAACCGTTAATATTTTCCAATGTTATTCACATTTCTTGTACAGAGCTATATTTCATTTTCTTGGTATATGTATGCACGTGATAAATAATAAACAGTGTTGATTATACAATTTAAAGTTATTGTAAAGAACAGATAAATTACGTTCTCTATTGAAACAACTTATAAATTCGTGTACATAAATCAAATTGAATTTTATGACTCACTTGTCTGAACATTAATCTTTTTTTATATATAATGTTATCAAAATATATTTATATATATGTGATCAAAATTAAATTTATGTAATTTCAGATTAGTCCGTATACTAATTATTGATAATAAACTTTTCGGAGAAGCATATATTATATTGATCAAGACAACGCATAAAAAGATGAGTTTCAAAATAAGCTTGTTATTCATGCTTGTTACTTTCAGCATGTTTAGCACGGTATACATGCGTCCATCAAAAAGAGAGGAATCCCGTATACGTAAGGCACTAGAATTAAAGGAAGCGTTATGAAAGCGTTTTATTTCTCTTACATTGTACACGCACAGTATAATCTTTTATTTTATTTGCTATTATGATACTTTTAATATAATTTGAAAAACTCAAATTGTTATTTATTATTTAATGTATATATTTAATTATAATAAATTGCTACAATTATCAGAAATATAAAGTTATTAATTTAATTTTACTGGAATAATAAAATAAATATTGAACTGTGTATAAATTGATATAGTTTTTTTCATAGTTTACTGCATGCGTTGTAATTTAAGTTTTTGCACAATGTATTTCTGTCTTACAGGACCTGCTTATTGTGATACTGATCATGACTATGGACATGGGTGCAAATGGTGGACTCCTTGCGCCAAGCAGTGGAGATACGCGTATAATAAGAATACAAGAAAATGTGAAGCTTTTTATTACAGCGGTTATGAAGGAAATCAAAATAATTTTCGAACAAAGGCCATGTGTATTGATTCGTGTTATGAGGATGTATATTTTTAGATGCACTTTTAATATAAAATTATTATGAATTTTCCATATATTGATATGTATTTACAATAGTTTGATATTGCCTTTAAATAGAAATACTAAATGAAAGATTCTGTGAAGTTTTTATAAAATGCTTATAAAAGTTTTATTTTTCAATAAATGACTATAATAAAATAAAATTTACTAATATGTTTATAAAATATGTACAAATGTTTGTATAAATAAAAAGAAGCACGTTTTAATTTTTTTATTTTTTATTTTTGTTGCTGTATAAGAGAGAGAGAGAGATATATAATACTACGTACAATATTTTAATAATAAGGAACCATATAAAAATTTAAGTAAAAATATATCAGTGTTAATTGAATAACATGTTGGTTTAAAAAATATTATCTTACATGGAATTACTGTAATTGTGCTAAATTATTATCAAAATTTTTAAACACGCAACAAAAGTGTTGTATTCTTTCCTTACATTTCATACAGATATTTAACATATTGTAAGTTTGATATGTCTTTTTAAATATGTGACGTAAGTGATAAACATTTTCTCTCAAGTAAAAAGAATTATAATTTTATAATTTTCTAATTTTATTCATTATTTATAAGTAGATGAATATTCTTATAATAACTTGATGTTAATTAAATTATATTTTTATTTAAATGTTTATTGTCAGTATAACGATCAAATATATGTGACGCAACATACGTGGTCAGTCGTGCAATTATAAATTGGCGCTGGAAATAATAGTAATAATTTTGAAACATACAACAACAAAAAATTGCTCTTAAATTGCTTTTTCGCTATGCGTAATTGCTTTACCTCTTTAATGAATATTAAATAATGCCGTTACACGAAAACAGTCATCACTGTTTGCTTAGCAAATACCCATATTTCAATTTTCTAGTTTTCTTTAAAATCTGTTTTTCTAATAAAACGCTCATAAAATGCTTTTTTTTTCTTATTGATAAAATTTTAAGTGTTTGAGTTTTTATTTATGAAAATTAATAGATGTTGATTATTTGGTGCGTTTGTAATACTTTGTTTGATGTGTATCAATTTTATAGTTTGGTGATGCGATTACAATTACAACGTAGATCCTTACAATTATTTTTAACCAAAATATTATTATGACAAAATAAAAAATAAATGTAGAATGTTTATTTGGAGGGTTGTGTTCGGAATGCTAACAAGTTCAATAATGAACGCTTTTGCCGAAAAGTTTGCTTCCTGCAAAAAAATGTATCCGCAAACGGGTTTTGAATGGAAATGTAAGACTGTATGATATTTTGATCAATTGTTTATACAAATTCTGCATTTTTATAAAAATTAACTGCGACAAAATTAAATCTGTTCATATATATGTGTAAGCAAAACTGAACATTTTTGTCATTTCTGTTTTACTTTTTTTATACCGTTCTTTTATTTTGGCACATATTAAATATGTATTACTATGCAGAATAGTTTAATAACCTTAGTACATGTAATTGTAATTAAAAAGACTGTTTCTTGTAATACTTATATAATTTGAAAATGTTGTATCCTTCTTGTTTTCGACGTAAAATGAGCACAGTTAGCGCTTCATAGTTTATAGACGAAATTAAATGTAGACGCTCTGTGAAATTTAGTTTTAATTAATGGAAAATAATTTAGAAATTTTAATTTAGAAGTTAAAACAATGTAAATAAAGTAAATGATATTTGTTTCGGAATGTAAAAAATTATTTTATTTAAAAATACAAAAATACGACATGTATCATATTACTGTATTATTATTATTATTGAGATATTATATTATTGAAATATTAAACACTATACTTTATGATGAGTGTGTAGTTCAGATTATCATTGTAGCAAATATTTATTGCGAGCATCGTAAAATTTGCAATAGTCGTTCCTTCTTAGCCGTACGGTCACACGGTATAGCACAACGATGATATTCGCGGTTTAACAGCCATGTTCCCAACTGACAACACGCAGGCTCTACGATTATAGTAGGTGGGATAGACGAAGGATCAATCGCGATCTTGCATGCTGTTGCTTTTGATCGTCTGTGAGTGACAAACGTTTCTTGACCTCGCAATTTACTTAGGCATGTACGATTAAGCGAGAAATTTAGCCACGTCAAACTTAATTCTTCTTAAGAAAAGAATTCTATCAGAACTTGGTACGTGACTTTCAATCAATATTATTATAACATTAAATTTACTCTTACTATTTAATTAATCTTGAAATTATTTAAAAGATTTTTGTTTTGCCATTTTTCTAATAACTATCTTATTATTTGCAATTTTGTGACAAGTAAAAGAGATGACAAACAAAGAATTTAGTTTAACATGTTTTATATTATGGAGAAAATTTTATATCAAATGTTACTATGTACGGCAGTAGTTGCAGACCATGAAGAAATTATAAAATTTTTTACTATGTTTGTCACATGTGTAAAACAGTAATACAAAATTATTTTTACATAAAATTTTCTTCTTTATCCAGCAAGAATGGATGTAATATGGATAATTTTTGCTTTTTTATAAGTAAATCTTCTGCATTATCGACTTCTTTTGTCAAAATGATGTGTTTAATATTCATACACGCATCGTGACTATAACACAAAGATTTTTCACATTATGATTATCTTATGCTTTAATCGCGACGAAAACTGAATAATGCCGAACGTACGAATTCCATTCGTACGAATAGATCTAATAAACACAATCGTAACTTTGCGGCAGTTTCTTACATAGGAAGCATATTGAAGGAATAACCGTTAATATTTTCCAATGTTATTCACATTTCTTGTACAGAGCTATATTTCATTTTCTTGGTATATGTATGCACGTGATAAATAATAAACAGTGTTGATTATACAATTTAAAGTTATTGTAAAAAACAGATAAATTACGTTCTCTATTGAAACAACTTATAAATTCGTGTACATAAATCAAATTAGATTTTATGACTCACTTGTCTGAACATTAATCTTTTTTTATATATGATGTTATGATCAAAATTAAATTTATGTAATTTCAGATCAGTCCGTATACTAATTATTGATAATAAACTTTTCGGAGAAGCATATATTATATTGATCAAGACAACGCATAAAAAGATGAGTTTCAAAATAAGCTTGTTATTCATGCTTGTTACCTTCAGCATGTTTAGCACGGTATACATGCGTCCATCAAAAAGAGAAGAATCCCGTATACGTAAGGCACTAGAATTAAAGAAAGCGTTATGGAAGCGTTTTATTTCTCTTACATTGTACACGCACAGTATAATCTTTTATTTTATTTGCTATTATGATACTTTTAATATAATTTGAAAAACTTAAATTGTTATTTATTATTTAATGTACATATTCAATTATAATAAATTGATACAAATATCAGAAATATAAAGTTATTAATTTAATTTTACTGGAATAATAAAATAAATGTTGAACTGTGTGTGAATTGATATATTTTTTTTCATAGTTTACTGCATGCGTTGTAATTTAAGTTTTTGCAAAATGTGTTTCTGTCTTACAGGATTTGATTTATGTGATACTGATCATGATTATGGAAATGGGTGCAAATTTTTGTCTCCTTGCGCCAGGAAGTGGAGATACGCGTATAATAAGAATACAAGAAAATGTGAATTGTTTCATTACAGTGGTTATGGAGGAAATTATAATAATTTTCCAACAGAGGCCACGTGTATGGGTTTGTGTCATGGAGATATTTAAATGCATTTTTGACATAAAATTATTAAGAATTTCTTATATATTGATATGTATTTACAATAGTTTGATATTGACTTTAAATAGAAAACTAAATGAAAGATTCTGTGAAGTTTTTATAAAATACTTGTAAAAGTTTTATTTTTACATTAAATGACTGTAATAAAATAAAATTTACGAATATGTTTATAATATATGTACGAATATTTGTATAAATAAAAAGAAGCACGTCTTAATTTTTTTATTCTTTATTTTTGTTGCTGTATTAGGAGGTATATAATACTACGTACAATAATTTAATAATATAGAACCATATAAGAATTTATGTAAAAATATATCAGTGTAAATTGAATAATATGTTGGTTTAAAAAATATCATCTTATATAGAATTACTGTAATTGTGCTAAATTATTATCAAAATTTTTAAACACGCAACAGCGGTGTTTATTCTTTCCTTACATTTCATAGATATTTAACATATTGTAAGTTTGATATGTTTTTTTAAATATGTGACGTAAGTGATAAATATTTTCTCTCAAGTAAAAAGAATTATAATTTTAGAATTTTCTAATTTTATTCATTATTTATAAGTAGATAAATATTCTTATAATAACTTGATGTTAATTAAATTATATTTTTATTTAAATGTTTATTATCAGTATAACGATCAAATATATGTGGCGCAACATACGTGGTCAGTCGTGCAATTATAAATTGGCGCTGGGAATAATAGTAATAATTTTGAAACATACAACAACAAAAAATTGCTCTTAAATTGCTTTTTTGCTATGCGTAATTGCTTTACTTCTTTAATTAAATATTAAATAATGCCGTTACACGAAAACAGTCATCACTGTTTGCTTAGCAAATACCCATATTTTAATTTTCCAGTTTTCTTTAAAATTTGTTCTTCTAATAAAACGCTCATAAATTGCTATTTTTTTCTCATTAATAAAATTTTAAGTTTTTGAGTTTTTATTTATGAAAATGATAGATGTTGATTATTTGGTGCGTTTGTAATACTTCGTTTTATGTGTATCGATTTTATAGTTTGGTGTTGCGATTACAATTACAACGTAGATCCTTACAATTATTTTTAACCAAAATATTATGACAAAATAAAAAATGAATGTAGAATGTTTATGTGGAGGGTTGTGATCGGAATGCTAACAAGTTCAATAATGAACGTTTGTGCCGAAAAGTTTGCCTTCTGCAGAAAAATGTACCCGCAAACGGATTTTAAATGGAAATGTAAGACTGTATGATATTTTGGTCAGATGTTGATACAAATTCTGCATTTTTATAAAAATTAACTGCGACAAAATTAAATCTGTTCATATATATGTGTAAGCAAAACTGAACATTTTTGTCATTTCTGTTTTACTTTTTTTATACCGTTCTTTTATTTTGGCACATATTAAATATGTATTACTGTGCAGAATAGTTTAATAACATTAGTACATGTAATTGTAATTAAAAAGACTGTTTCTTGTAATACTTATATAATTTGAAAATGTTGTATCCTTCTTGTTTTTGACGTAAAATGAGCACAGTTAGCGCTTCATAGTTTTTAGACGAAATTAAATGTAGAAGCTCTGTGAAATTTAGTTTTAATTAATGGAAAATAAATTAGAAATTTTAATCTTAAAGTTAAAACAATGTAAATAAAGTAAATGATATTTGTTTCGGAATGTAAAAAATTATTTCATTCAAAAATACAAAAATACGACATGTATCATATTACTGTATTATTATTATTATTGAGATATTATATTATTGAAATATTAAACACTATACTTTATGATGAGTGTGTAGTTCAGATTATCATTGTAGCAAATATTTATTGCGAGCATCGTAAAATTTGCAATAGGCGTTCCTTCTTAGCCGTACAGTCACACGGTATAGCACAACGATGATATTCGCGATTTAACAGCCATGTTCTCAACTGACAACGCGCAGGCTCTACGATTATAGTAGAAAGGATAGACGAAGGATCAATCGCAATCCTGCATGCTGTTGCTTTTGATCGTCTGTAAGTGACAAACGTTTTTTGACCTCGCAATTTACTTAGGCATGTACGATTAAGCGAGAAATTTGGCCACGTCAAACTTGATTCTTCTTAAGAAAAAAATTCTATCAGAACTTGGTAAGTGATTTTCAATCAATATTATCATAGCATTAAATTTACTCTTACTATTTAATTAATCTTGAAATTATTTAAAGGATTCTTGTTTTGCCATTTTTTTAATAACTATCTTGTTATATGCAACTTTGTGACAAGTAAAAGAGATGACAAACAAAGAATTTAGTTTAACATGTTTTATATCATGGAGAAAATTTTATATCAAAAGTTATTATGTACGTCAGTAGCTGTGGACCGTGAAGAAATTATTAAAATTTTTGCCATGTTGTTCACACACATGAAAGACAGTAAAAATTTTTAATTCGCGGCTTCATGGTCCGCGGTTACTGTCGTACATAGTTACTTTTAACATAAAATTTTCTCCGTGATCCAGCAAGATTAGATATAATATGGATATCAAATTTTACTTTTTTATAAGTAAATCTTATGCATTAACGATTTCTTTTGTCAAAGTGCTGTGTTTAATATTTATACACGCATCGTATCTGTAACGCAAAAATTTTTTACACTATAATTATCTTATGTTTTAATGTGACGGGACCAAATAAAGCGAATTAAGCCCGAAAGTGCGAATTCCATTCGTATGAATAAAACTAATAGACACAACCAACTTTGCGGCAGTTTTTTGCATAGGAAACGTATCGAAAAAATAACCGTTAATATTTCACAATGTTATTCACATTTCTTCTACAGAGCTATATTCTATTTTCTTGCTAGATGCATGCATGTGATAAATAATGAACAGTGCTGATTTTACAATTTAAAGTTATTGTAAAAATCATATAAATTACGTTATCTATTGAAACAACTTATAAATTCGTGTACATAAATCAGATTGGATTTTATGATTCAGTTGTTTGGACATTAATATTTTTTTTATATATGATGTTATAATCAAAATTAAATTTATATAATTACAGATGAGTACGTATAGTAATTATTGATAATAAAATTTTTGGAGAAGCATATATTATATTGATCAAACGTAACTTATTGTTAGTAATTTAATCAAGACAACACACGAGAGGATGGATTTTAAAATAAGTTTGTTATCTGTACTTGTTACTTTCAGCATGCTTAGCATGGTATACTCTTGTGTTACACAACAGTGCTATTATCAATATAACGCTCAATTTAATTCAACTGATATAGAACATATGAAGTCTTCTGAAAGTAAGCGTTTTATTTTTCTCACATTGTACAGGGTGCTTCCGCAACATACAGATCAGTAAATCGGGTTGCCTATTTGTTTATCGGCAGGGGCATGCTTTACCGGCCGTGCAGAATAAGGTTAGATCGCAAGTCCGGCGGAAAATAAGACAAAAGAAATTTGAGTTTTACCATTTTGGTATAGTGTAAATTTAATAAATAATAGATGTATCAGGCTCTGATGATTGTTAAAATCAATAAATTTAAAAGGAGCGTAAAGAGCCAACAGCCAGATATTCGTGCGAAGGTTATCGTGTATTAATATATAACCATTAAACAATACATTAAAAAAACAAACGTTTCAGCCTGTCATCAGGCCTTTATCAATGTTATTACAAAAATTCAAAAAATTACGCAACGCAAAAATTATAAACATAAACCGAAGTAAAATTAACATAATAAACTGAAGAGTAGTTAAAACCACGTTAAATTGTGTTAAACATAGTAGAAAGCTCGTCCACACAAGATGGAACGAGGTAGGAGAAAAAACTTAGAACCATATAATG